GGAGAAGGCGCAAGTATTCTTGGATGAACTGACCAAAGTCATCCCGTCCTTTGGTATGCACTTTGCACCTACAAAGTGTAAGGTCATGCTTGTGGACGAGCAGTCACTGAACACGCCCCTTACAATCCAGGGAGAGGTACTGGAAGTTGTGGAGCGTTTTACGTATCTCGGAAGTTGTATTAGTTCTGATTGTAGTGTGACAGATGAGATAAATGCACGAATCTGCAAGGCTCGGGCACCGTCCTCACCTCACTGCGCCTGGTTGGAGACGCTGCAATATATGACTGCCAACAGATGTCGGTGGCAATTTTGTTTTCAGTTGCTATCAGCCTGAGGGCTGCGCCTGGTTGGAGACGCTGCAATATATGACTGCCAACAGATGTCGGTGGCAATTTTGTTTTCAGTTGCTATCAAGAGTGCCTGAGTGAGTGTTTGAAGGTTTGGCAACCTCGGAATGATTATAGTAAGCTAGCGTTAATTCCGTTCCGCGTTCACCTTTATTCTTTTTTTCACAATAAGGCTTTCGACCAAATCATGGTTGGCAGCGAGCGATGCATCAATGTTGAACACTGATGTAATGTTGTCGATGATGATGATGTTTTTCATAGTTATATATTAGCTTTGTGATCGATAGAGCGGTAGGTTATGTCTTCTCAGCTCCGCCTCGCTGTCTATATTCGCAACATGTGCCTCTGAAATCGACATTCATGGTATACGTCATCAGTGGTGACTTAGGCCTGTAGGCTTGTAAGCCTGTCTGTAGAAGTTTCGCAAGGTTTTGTCTGTGAGTGACGAAACAACAACAGCTGGACGTAACAGACACCAACTCATTCCAAAAGATGCAAAAATCTACATCGTGATTTCTAGACTGCATATCTGAGCTTATATGTATAATCCAGAGGTAACGCTGGTCCTGATTCTTGGCATGAAAAATTCGACCTATCGAGCCCAGGATCACTGGCTAACCTGAACCATTGGATGAAACCTTTGGGCCATAACCTAAAAGGGAGGTACAATTTAATCAGCTCGATAACGGCCTAAGTATGCGTGCAAAAACGATGTTCCCGGTAGATTTCACTTCTTTTTAACGTGTATCACTTTGAAAGTAGGTGCAGAATAACCAATCTTAAATAGTTAACCAGCTTTCATCTGAATTCATCCTAAACTGACAAATCCCACATCTCCGTTCGTAACATGCGTCTCAGTCACCCATGCTGACATGTTTTTGGTATGTTAAGTAGCACTTTGTGCCCTACTTTAGTACATTCTATCACTGACCGAGTGTATTTGCGTTCCGATTGTGAGGTTTTTAGGATACAGTCAGAAATGTTGTTGTGTGAGATTACATAATATCTATGAGTATGATGACTTTCAATGCTATACAACGTTGCTTCAACCCTCATCTCGAATTTCGCCGCTACCATAGGTTGGATTTCTTCTCAAAATTCCAAAGGCCGAGGTTGAAACGCCGGACATAGAAATGTGTGATCTCAGATATGCTGTGAGTTTTTCTCGTTAGAGATTTATGATTGTATGATTGGTAGTCATATAGGCACGTTGTACGGTAATTTAATGAAAAAATGGGCATAAGATAGTAACGCAACTTACATAAATTAGCAGTGAAACCCGGAATTTTAACACGTATCAAAATCTTTGTTTCGTTTCGTGGGTTTGCCGTTAACCACTGTCTGTTTTCCGAAACCTTCTGAGCAGACTCCTCAGGCAGCTCAAGAGTTTTGCCGAATCATCGTTCTAAATCGCCCTAACTAATTGATAGTCTTAGTGTTGTGAGCTGGTATATACTCAGGAGGAGGAAACTTGAAATCACAACATAGGATGATTCTCTCTGGTCCGTGGCTAAATCAGCTCCAGAATGGTCGTCATCAACACCATAATAGTCACTATTGTTAGTATTTATATCACCATCTTGAACGACCGCGTTGTAACCTGCTGATGATTGCTTCTGTTAGGATGATGTTTACTTCGACTTCACTCATAAGAAACTGCAGAAAGCTTAGTTACTTGGTAGCGTACACGCTACCTGGTTATTTCTGTTTGTCTTTTTGTGTGAAATTCATCTGCTGCGATCTGCTTGGAACACTGAAGGTGTAGTAAATCGGGAACCGACGGGTGTACAAAAAAGTCAGTGAGTAATTCTCCCAAAATTAACCTTAAGTAAGTTTTTTTAATAGACTGCACATATATTGTTAGACTAAATATGTAGGAAGGTTTTATTTTCACACTGGAGTAAAAAGATCCCAGATTTCGAGTGCGTGTAGTGTGGAGTCACTAGAGTGATCATGAGCTTACCCAAACCAAACAGATATGAAAGTCGTGTGCTTCGTATATGTGCATTCGTTAGAGCTTTACTGAACTTCGGCTTGCCTTCCGATGTTAGACCAAGATTTCTATTTGTCTGCTAATGGTAAACCCCATGAATATAAAAAACAGTCCACATTAATCAAACTTTGCAGACAAGCTGCTGGTTGCTCATCCATAGTTCCCGTTTTTCATCATCCGCGGGTTTCCTTCAAATTTCTCATTCCAAAGTTAAATTATTATGCCGGCTCCTTGCCGACTGTTATTCGTCACCGTTATTCCGTAATTCAGTGCACCTATATCAGTACAATACTGCAAGTGTAATCTTCTTCATTAAGAAGAAATAGCCACCTGCTACCATTTTTAATCACATCTCTTTCTTAACCATTATCCCTATACTAAATTCTATCGAAAGTCTGGCTTCTTCCTTAAGCTAAGAAACACTGATGGGCTCATGAAACAAAGAAGCATTTCCACTTTCACTTATTTGAGGCCATCAGATTTGATTCGATGTGTCAACTGATAAGCAAACGGACGTGGTCATTGACAAGAAAGCGAGAAGTCATTGGATAAGCGTGACTTTGTGTTCATGGGTTGAAAGGCACTCATTCGTGTTCTTACCTCACCTCCTAAACTGTCTCATCAACCCCTTGCACGGACAATAGCCGTTTATCATAAATAAAATACTCCATATTGACC